GCAGCCCAATCTGATAGTGTGCAGCCCAAATTACAGGTTTAGATAGTTTCAGTGATCTCGAATGCTAAGATCGATACAATACCGACGACGAATAGTCTCTCTCGATTACGCGCTCTATCCTCAGCCCTCGCCACGTTGCTCCACTTTTCTGATATATAAACGCTCGTTTATCTCTCTACACACACCGGAGCGTCGGCCTTCTCTCTCTCATTCAGTCGCTTCCGTGTGTTTATACTCAATTGCTGTGTTTGACAGGCACCACCCTTGTTAATCGTCGGATGGGTGTCAAGGCACACACCTAATACCTGGGTCACATAATCCCTCCCAACCAGGGTGTGTCGGGGGGGTCTTAACGTCCTGTGCCGTTTATTAGGAACCGCAGGCCTCCTTCGTGGCTGTCCCCGACTCCTCCCATCTCACCGTCCACTCCGGCCGGACATCTGCCTGGCCACGCTCCTCTCCCCGGCGTCTCTCCCATCCCGAGGTGTCTCCCGCAGGGGCTCGCGCCGCCACCTCCCACGGCCTTGCCCTGACGCGTCCCGCGGACACCGTTCTGTCCGGTAGTGTGGCGGTCAGGCCACTTCTCGGCCGCAGACTCGCGCTGCCGGCACCTATTGGTCCACAGGGTCGGTCCTTCCTCCTTACGGGGCGGCGTCCGCTCCGTGTCGCCGCCGCCCGTACTTTCACGGAGACTCCTTTCCTGGCCCAAGGGGCCCTTCCGGCCGTGTCGTAGGGCCCTCCTTCCTCGGCACTGTCCCTCTCCCGGTCTGCCCCGGCAGGCTCTCGGTTTGCAGCTCCACTTTGCACTCGGCGCCATTCCTCTCCGGTCCGTCCAGGCCTCGCGCGGGCTCCGCCTGAGCCAGGCTCTTACGGTACCCGGGGTACTAGGCAAGGTTATGGCGCGCTCCGGCTTCCTCTCCGGCTGTCCCAGGGCCTCGCGCGTTTGGGTGCCCGGGCTACTTACCGTACCGCGAGTGCTGCAGCTTTGACAGCTCCGCTCTGCCAGGTCTTTCCGCGCGCCGTTCGGGTTCCGCGCGCTATCCTCGCGTCCCATTGCCTGGTTTCGCGGCAGCTCCATCACTTTTCCGCTCCTCCGCGTGTCGCTCCAGCTGCGTCTGTACCAGCTTGGAGGAGAGTCCCCGCGAGAGAGGGATCAGAGATCAGAGATCAGATCGGCTGCTGCTGACGGAGAACACGCAGCTCTTCCGGATCAGAGCTCCGCCGCTGTGACTGACCGTTGAGCGAAGCAAAATACACTAAGAGTTAGGCCTAACACAATTAGCTAGTTTATCTACTCTGGAACTAGCTAAACTAGTTATAAATATATGTATTCTTTACTGTCGGGTCACTTATTACAGGTTCAGAGAGCTGCACGAGACTCACGGGCTGTCAGGAGAGGGAGAGGAAAAGAGAGCCCCCCGTTTATTTATCCCATTTTATTATCCAGAATTACTGTACACTTTTGAATAAAGTAGTTAATCTACTATTAGTAGTTTGTTTAAATGCATTAATTATGTTTTTTTTTTCATTAACATAGAATAAATCTCACGTGCCCCCTGCAGTACTCCAACGTACCCCTAGGGGTCCGCGTACCCCCATTTGAGAACCACTGATCTAGCCTGCAAGACCGTGTGCAAACCGTTCATGACTAGTGTGAACACTGCATCTAAGTGTGTGTACTGTACAGTCTATGCCACTACTCCTAAAAACACAAGCACTGTCCTGTGTCTGTCTTGCCATTGGCAGATAAGTGTTAAAGGGGCAAGCCCAAAATGTAGCCGGTAAAACAAGTACAATTTAGGGAAGAAATATACATTTGTCATTTAAATCAATTTCAACGCAAAATGCATTTACAGCTGGCCAACACAGAACTCCTCCACAGAGATACACAAATCCAACTTTAAATGAGGGAAATAAGCAAGGAACACTTGAGATTCTGCAATCTCTCAACAGAGCATATCAATAAAAGACAATATAATGTACGAGCAGATCCATAGGGGTGCTAACCTCTTTCTTGCGAAGCTTGCAGATCTGCTGCTCCACCATGGTGATCTCCCTGTCCACGCGGTCCATGTTCTGGATCAGCTCCTCCTTGGAGAACCGAGCTGGCACCAGATCCAAGTCGGGGTCCATATGGACCGGGCTCACAGGGGAGATCGGCTCCAGCTTCCCCATGGAACTCCCACGGTCCTACAGACGCACAGGGGTAAAGGGGACATGATTAGATGTAATCAAAAGGATAACATTATGATCCATTTCACACAAAGAAATACATCAACCAAACAAAATGAACATGTGTTATTAAAATCAGAAGGGAATGAGGCAAAGGGCAATATGTTCCACGTGGTATGCTATACAATGTTTATTAAAAACTGATTCTAATTAAGTTGCTCATTGCACCCTCCTCTCCTGTCAAATACTTCCCTGTTTATCTCTGATTAAAAAAGGCCTAGAGGTTACACTACAAAAATAATAAACACAGTATGTGTATTCCTTGGTAAGGTAAGAGACGGCAGTGATTCATTCTACTAGTAAAGTCGTAGTAGTGCCTCAGTGTCACTAGACCAAACTAATGGATTATGCTCAAGAGCACTGGCAGATGGCTCTTTTTAAGAGACTTTGTTTAAAATGTGAAATTTGAGGATGTAGGCAAGACTAAAGAATAGTACAGCCATGTCTGGCATAAAAATGTAAAGGTTTGTCGGTCACACAATACACTGCCTTGCTTTTAAAGCGATTAAAGCGATTTATCAAACCACTGATCCTCCAAGTACTCCAACGTTAAGGTAAACATGATCTGAGAATACAATTTTAATATCTAAATATCAAAACAATTCAAACTATTACTAACTAATATTTTGAATGCATGTTGTGTTTTCAATAATCTGGAAACTGCTCAATGGAATCATATTGTTATAACGGCCCTCAGATAATGGCAGCAACCAATGGTTTTTCCCAAATGACTGAATACTCTGCCGATTATTTCCTTGAGGAATCCCTTAGATGTTTGGTCAGTACAATGTCCACGGTGTAATTGTTTACTCTATAAAACACATTGGATGTACAGACAAATATAATCCACTTTTCTGCATGGTCACATTAGAAAGAAAAAAAAGAGAATAGCTTCTGGCATGGCTCAGTTTTTTATAAAATGACGCCCTTGAATGATCCATAGGATTTCATGAGCGTCGTATGTTTATATGAAATGTAATTATTTCACTAATTCCTTAGTTGCCACAGTTTTCTATTGGCAGCAACATCAGTGTTGTTTTTGATTTACTGTTGCCATTTTGTTCTACTGCAAACTCAAGGACAGTTTAGTGCGTGCTAACTTTAGAGGGTGTGTTTAACCATGAGGGATTTGATGGTACGTAGTAGTCTGCATTAAGGCTGTTTAGTTTTCCCTCTGGTCTTGTGCCCTACACTGTCCTCTGTACTTGTCAACAGTACAGCAGCACATCAACAGCTACTACACCTGTGACATAGAGTGAAAAGGTCACAGGCCAATCGCTAAGCCCTTGGCCAGGCACAGCTTACATCTTTTAATGACCTCGGCGACCCGGGTCACATTTAGAACATTGCTCTGAATGATGTCTCGAGCTGTGCATGCATCAGGTTTTTTTTTAAATTACCCCTGGGTGCTGTAGCATGTCTGTGTAAATGTGTTCTGTTTCATAAGCACTAAGTCACGTAGTCTTAAGTGGATGCATTCCAGGCCACACTTAAATAAAGCCGTAGACATCCTATTTTAATGCTAAGAGGTGCATCTAAGTTCACAATGGTCTCTCTCTTCGGAAATCAGTCCCGCTCTTATGCAGTACACAACAGCTGGTGCACAAAACCGCTCAAACTGAGGTGACTGAGGTAAGATTTGCTAAGGTTTAATGTTGAATCTAGTCATAAAATGCAATTCATATTAAACTGGGAAGAAGAACTGAAATTAAGAGTGAAACGTGTGTCATGGTTTAAACAAGAAAACTTACCGGTACTTGAGATTAACCAGTGTAAGGAGTATTGACGGCCTTGATGAAAATATAAATATTTGTTTTTGTTCTTTTGCAGACTGATGTTGCTTTTTTTTTTAAATGTTAATGTAGTTATTTGAGCCAATGACTGATTGTCAATTCTATGTCAAGTTGACAGATATGGATTACTTCTGTGCATTGGGTTTTGTCTTCTTTTTTTTTTGCAACAAGAAGAATCTTTGAGTGTTGTTTGGTGGCATATGACATGTCACTGCTGTCCTATGCTTTGCTTAACATAAGAATCAAAGAAAAACACTACTTGAGATTTTTGTTCAAGCCAAAGCGAGTTGGTTGCTGGCATGTTTCGTCCCTGATCACTCAACATCTAGTGTCAATAAAGGTCCTTGATTCAGATACAGAGCTGATTATATTAAGACTAAAAATGACAGCCGTCACAGAGTAATCTCTGGCTGTCAATGTGAGCAGCAACTTTAGTCTCAAGTGTAGTTCCATAGATTTCCATTTTACCACTGAATAAAACAATTGTCTTTGGAATATGTATTTGTTTCAATGGTTCATGCTTTTTCTGAACCAAAACATAAAATGTGTACGTGTAAAAAGAATCAAAAAACATATTGCCAACGTCAATACACCCTGTCGACCCATCAGAAAAATAATATTCAGCCCCCTGCAGTAAGACTTATATATGCTTACACTAGTCTGATGTTTTCACTGTAAGAGTCAAGTTCAAGTATGTGTCCAGGTCGTTGTTCAGTTATACAATCCTGCCGCAGAGCGTCCCTCCTGCCGGGCTGCTGACAGTGCTTTCAGCAAAACACTCAGTCACGCTGGACAGCAGTAGAGGAGGTTGTACATAAGTCTGGTTCAAAAGTAGTCTATCCGCTTTCATTGACAGTCAGCACTGCTCTCCGCTTTCCCTTACCCATCTCCACTTTCATCACAGTTAGTTTTGTGGTTTGTTTGTTTAGAGACAATGCTCGGTTTGTAAAGTTTAAAGTGCTCCTCTTCTCCGATGCAGCAAAAGAAAAAGTGCAGTTAATTGATTGCGAGTTGTCTCAGGGTCATCTCAGCCAATGACTCGATTGATCAACTGATAGAGGGAAGTCCTTTACACCAATGCCGATAAGCTAATACTGACTATATGTCAGCCCTGCCTTTTTATTTGGCTGGGCTTTAATCTTGAGGGAGGGCCAGATATCTTACATAGGGACATTCAGACACAGGGTGTATTACTAGTCTACTTTGCTCACTCAAAGAGCAATTTATTGTACCTTAAGGAAACTGTCACGTGCATGGACAATGTTTACGAGCACCTGTGTAAACAAGTCTTGAATTCTAACCTGGTCTTACTCCCTGTATAACCAAAATATCTAGATAACTGTACGATGGTGTACTCGAACAAAATGCCGTTCTTCCCTGATTCACCTTCCAAGTGAGTCATGATACAAGCATCAGCTTTGTTTTAAACAACTGGCCTACTCCCTCTTTTATTGTTGGTCTTTGTCTCTTACTCCTCCCTTTCCCTTTTCACCTCTTTCGGTGCCTCTACACTCGCCCTTTGCCTTATATTCAGCTGGATCTTTCCTTCCATCCCCACTATCATTTGGTAGATGTGTTCCGTGCGGTGATTGCCTCTGACATGACTTATGTAATGGGTTTACGGCTCTCTCTGCTCTGAGGGGAATTACTGGCATTCCTGCTAGCTTAAGGGTCAATGTTTTTTTTTTCCTGTACTCTCTGTTGTTGGTGTATCTATTTACCATTCCTTGGCTGTCTGCCTCCCCTGGCAGTTGGAAGCACTCTGTGTAATGTCAGGAACGCCTCCCCACCAGCAGCTCTACAGTGCAAGCAAGCCTTTTTGATGTGCAGTTTCACAGTTTCATCCTCGGTCGTTTGAAATCTAGGTCAGCTCAATTACTTATTAATTGCAGTTTCACAACTCCCTTATTCTCCTCACTGCGGCTCACAGAGCTCCAGCTCCTGCAATGCAGAACCTGATTCTAGGACTTCTGCTGGGTTAAATCCACCTTTCAGGAGAATAGGAAGACTGTTCAGAGAACAAAATATATTTTTATAATTAAGTTTTTATATTTTTGAGATAGAAAAGGGGTAACCATGTATAAGTCATATACATTTTAATCTTTCAAAATCTTCTTTTAGATGTCCAACTTCTAAAAGCACCAACAATGGTGTCCTAGAATATTGGTACATACTGACAAAAGTATTTCTTTCTATTCCATTTTGTTCTACTAATAGTAGACAAAAATGGAAATCCATTAAGAGACTTAGGAGGCACATTTGGCTTGAAGGATTGATACAATTCCTGGCTAAAGAGAAAATGTTGATAAGATTTGGGGCTCATTCATAACATTTATAGGAGAAGGATTTGCCTAATGCCTTACAGTGCTTATTTTTTTCTCTTTAGACTTTAGGGTGATTATTAAGATCCGATTTTGTTCCTCGTCAGCAGGCACGATCATTTGTAAATTCCTTTATATTTGAATACAATAAATATGTCTGTAAAACAAAAAGTATCAATTCAAATGCTGATACACCCAGTCCTCTATTATCACATATTAACCATACATTTCCAAGTCCAGCCAAGTACTTCATGTTTTTCAGAGTCACCATCGAGCTCTGATATACTGCGAACTGTCAATATTATACAGTGTATGTTATAGTGCCTACTGACCTTTGACATATCCTCAGCCCCTCCCATGGGTAATTGTGGGCGATGGGATGAAGGCCTCATCAGAGACTCCGGTCCCATCTCCAAGCGAGGTCGTTTGATCTCTGCATACTCCACCTCTGATTGGTTGCTAGGCTCTGGCAGGTAAATGTGCTCATAGCGAATATGCTGCTCTTGCCCTCTGCAAAATACAAACGTAGGAGATCAGAGAAAAGCATTTAAAGCAACTGAAAGACTAAGATGAACAGTGAGCTAGAGGCAGCCATTATTGAAAGAAAAAGTGATTTGTCTCTAATGTAACAGCTAATAAAAGAAACATACAAGTTAGAAATACCCAATTTAAGAAGTGTATTTTCTTTGATTGATGTTTCAAATCAGATTTTTAGCCACACTAGCATTTTGATGGCAATCTGAATTGCAAAAAGACATTTGTTAAAAATTAACCCTTATGAGTATTAGGGATGGGAACGATTAACCGAATATTCAAAATTATTCAGGTATTCGAATATGAGTTATGAATATGTGTTATAGTAATTGTTTACAATAAACAGCAACTTTTTGGGGAGGGGTGCCTAAGTTGATTACATATGATCAAATGGAATAATTCAATGTATACGACAGTGCAATAGCTAAATGTGTATAGTCTAAAGGTGTGTTTTGCTCCGCTCACCGGTCCCTCACAGCGGGCAGAGCTAACAAGAGGATAACATTCATCCCACTTTTCTTTTTCTTTTTATAGGATATGTACATTTCGGTTAATCGGTTAACCGTTTTTTTGGGGGTCGAATATTCGAATATACATTTGCTTTCAAATTCCCATCCCTAATGAGTATGAGGCCATTTTAACCATTAGTGTTTCACCTGCATCATTGCACCTCGGGAAACATTGACTGACCAAATTCCCATTAGTCTTGGATGTATTATGCAGTTAATTCCAACATGACAATAAGTCTAATAGTGTTTTTGTCAATTTAAACTGATGAAGTCCCAAATAGGAACAAACAGTTGTATGTGAAGTTTGACTATCCAATACAAGACCACCAGACCTAAGTATTGGAACAAATAAAGCCTTCCAAAGTAAAAGCTGGATGCCAATAAACAAAGCAAGTCAAATCAATGGAAAAAAGATTTAAATAATAAACTTTGAAATAATATGTCAAGTCAAAAAGGAGCTGACAGAAGTCAACGATAAGTGAGACAATACTGATCTTCTCAGCGAAAGGCAAGGCTTGTAGCATTTTTTGTTTTAACATGTTGGCATAACCTAATCCCATTAATACAGGTTAACAACACAAAGAACATTTGTATAAAAGCCCAAGATGACAGATACAGGTGGAGATCAGGCAACACTTGGTCTTTACCATTGTTTTCAAGGCACAAACCATCGCCAGCTGGCTTGATTTGGTTCAAAATGTATAATAAAGTAATCACTGAAAACCATTTTATTCAGCAAAGCAGGAACATGTAATTGTCCACTCAGTACAGGAAAGTGGAGAGAAAGGGAAGCTAGGAAATGGTGACTCACTGTAACACTACCATCTAATGGTTTTACATTTAGCAGCATATAGTGGAGTATGGGGTTTAGCAGGAATTGCTTAGCAGTATAAACATGGTCATACATGCACACAAAGCCAAAGATAAGTGCTTTGTTGAGACAGTAGGAGCTATGGCACTCCCTATACTGTACCCCAAAACTAGAAGTGATGTGGATGGCTAGGAATGCTAACAATTACATTACCAGCCGCAGGAGGAGGGGAACGCACCATACTGTAACGTGATCTACTCATGATGTGCTGCATGTGTGGGGCTAGTATAAACCACATTCTGCATGTGTTCGTCATTGGAGGGCGGTGGATAGCATCACGCTAAAGTGCACCAGTAAAATGGATCCGTGGTGTGCAATCAAATGACAGCTTCTGAATGTTAACTGCACTTAGATTTAGAAGATTTTATTAGCCCACTTGTAAATGGCGCTCTGTTCTTTCTTAGGACAGTTTTTCAAGTCTGCCCTGGAGGCAGATGCCAGAAAGTCAGTGACTTTGCTGCCAGTGTCAAAATGGAAGTGGCTTCTGAAAAGAAGAGGGAAAACACAACCATAATTGCTGGTCCAGGCCCACAATGGCCTAGTGTGTTGTTTCTTTATGTGCCAAAGAGCATGGAGCCTGTCTCTGCTGAGTTGGGTGCTGCTGGTGGTTTGGTGAAACGATCGCCAACATCCACTAAGAGATTTATATAAGAGATATGTCATGCTGTTGTTATGTAATATGATGGGCTAAATCTGCATGTTAGAGGTGTCATGGGGTGCTGAGGAAACAAAGTCATTGATCAGAGTGATTGGCTTAATAGTACCTCAGAAAAATAGGGTGCCAAAATGAATACCCAGATGGCGTGTGACTACTCCACCCCCCACCCCCCCCCGGACACATTTTTCTCACTCATTCAGTGACACACTTCCTCATCTCCATAGAGGGCTGGCACTTACATAATCACATCATCAAGCTGTAGCCCCCTCTGCACTCATCTTCCCCTCCCTCCCCCTCTTTCTTTCTCCCTCTCCCTCTTGTGAGTGTGCAGAATACTCTGATCCCTGGGGAGGATTTGTCTGGAGAATGAGAGAAAGAGATGTGTGTAGAGGTGGTGGTGGTTTGTGTGCGTGTGTGCGTGTGTGGGGGGAGGTGGGGGACAAGGACAGGGGCAACACAACACAACAGCTCCATTACTTTCTTAGTAGTTTGGAACAGAGATCATGTGTGCAGCCTGTTATTGTGAAAGCATTATGGCGTTTGCGAACTTTGCGCGGCTTCCAATGTCTTGGCTGTTCCCCGGAGGAATAGCCCCACAGCTGTGCACGGCGCAGGGATGGCTAGCAGAGAGAGGAGCCAGCCTTACTGCACCACAGCTGGGATGAATGAAACGAAGAAAGCGCAGGAAAGAGGAGGGACTATGTGTGCCAAAAACTTAAGCTCTCAACTTTTCTCTTCATTTAACTGAACAAAAACTCTTATTACTCACACAGCAGGGGACAGGGATATTCTCAAATGCTTAATGATGGATACAAATAAAGGTTACTTTCTTTCTAGAAGGGTGCATATGTTGGAAAACTCATCAATTCCTAGATGGATAATCTAATTTTCTAATATAATATAATCTAATAATAAACTCATTTTTATCAGAATTCAAAAGGCTCTTCTTTAGAAAATACTATTGCAAACCATTGTTGATTATTATTGGCAACAATATGTCCAGCTATGTCAGTAAACTCGACAGGGATTAATACAATCAGCAACACGACAAATACATAAAGTAAAGGGGAAACCTATTTGTGCAAATATTTGATTTATTTTTATTTTTAAGAACACACATACTAAAGGTCTGAATACTATTTTTGATACCCATTTACTACATTCAAGTGCACGGTTAAATAACATAATAACAGCTACTGGACAAACCCCTTTAGCATTTTTGCACCAGTTTTGTTTGCACTGTTCTCTCGGTTCCAGGCAGACATTAAGTGGTTTCTCTGTGTTGTTATTCTTGCCATAAAATGTATTCACTCCCTTTCTCAAGTAGCCTCAGACAGATGGGAAGAGGCGGAGTGACTGAGATATTGCCTGAAGTAAAGAAGAGGATGAAACAAACAACTAGCACAGCGGCTCACCAATGATTATACTGTTGAGGCTTTCCGCTAGTGTTAATTTCGTCAGCTATTTTTTTAATTTAGTTTTAGTCTTAGTCCTGTGTTAAATTTCCTTTTTAGTTTTAGTCATATTTAGTCACCTTCATCCTGTTTTTAATTTGGCAAGTTTTAGTCGACTAAAAGTCTGAGCAATTTAGTCATATTTTAGTCAAAGAAAACAAATTATTTTAGTCTACTTTTTGTCAATGAAAACGGTTGAGTCTTTTTTAGTCATCAGATTATATAGAACATTTCAGTCAAACTAGTCTAGCCAAAACCAATAATTTGTCATTTTAGTCAAATTTATTTCACAATAAGATTATATCTTGTCCTTATTTGATGAAAAACACAGGTTGATTAAGAATGCAGCTCTGCAGAGAGTATCAGGTCAGGTTGTGGTGTTTTTACCTGTGTTATGGCCACATTGCTTCCCTTCTGATAAAACAATGCATTCGCTTTTTTCCTCCGCCTCATGGTAGTGAGCATGGGCTCAAACGGGTATTCGGTTAACGCGACCACTGCTCCCAACCCTGTTGTTGCCATTTTATTTTCTGTTAAATAAGGTTCGTTAGACCCAAGTCTTCCTGACAATTCACAGTGTGCCGCTGCCCGGTGTAATTCAAATGTACCGCCGCGCGCAGCACAGACACACAGCTGCTGCCCAGCCGCAGCACCGGAAATTGAACTGCTGGGAGAAAAACTGACTATCAGAGATGTAACGTTATCTTTGATAATATTTCGTCTCCTCATTTTTCGTCAACGAAAGTAAAGAGAGATTTTGGCATAGTTTTTATTTAGTAAACTACATTTTCGTCTTGTCACTTTTCGTCAATGATATTGCATGATGATTTCGTTACAGTTATTGTTTACTGCCGTCGGTGCCGTCTCGTCATCGTCTCGTTTTCGTCATGGAAAAAAAGGTCGTTGACGAACATATTTCTTCATAGTTTTAGTCAACGAAATTAACACTACTTTCCGCCCTGTAATTAGGGTATATTTGAGCATTAACTCAATAGTACATTATCACCTCGTCTTCACTCCAGTACAATTCAAGAGGAGAAGATTGCTACTTAGATCTATCATACTAAGAAAGTAATAATGCCATCCTTTTAGGAAAATGCAGCTTCTAAGGGCCATGTTGCTTCTTCTCTGTGGAACACAATGGAAACAAGCCTGGGCTTGCTACAAATGGAGACATGGTTTGCAGAATTACTGAGATGTATTGAAGGACAAGCACACATCTGAGAAGAGGATGGATTGAAGTATTGCAAAGGTAAGAATAACTTGATTCAGACTCTGAATGAAAACATAGAATAAATGCCTCAGACTGCCCTCTAAGGTAAAGCTGAAAGCCTGATATACTCCACTGAAAGAATTCCTGTCCACAGAGCCTGCCAGCAAGACCGGCAGTTTATTTCTCATCTTCTGAAAAACAGCCTCACTTCTCCACTATCTCACATGGCATCTGTGTTGCACAGACAGCATCATGTACACTGAGGCGGTGTTTACAAGAGAACGAAACGGGTTGTATCCGCTCTTTTCTCTTTCGTTAAGCCCGTTTGTTCACACGAGGCCGTAACGGAACCGCGGAAACAGACCCCGCAAACGATAACGGGTCGCAAGGTGGATAGATCTGCAAACGGAACGCTCTGGGGGGCCAATGGGGTCTGAGAGCGACTGCCAAAGCACCAGTGATTGACCGGAGGGTGTCAGGAAATCAGGAGCTGGTGTGTCACAGGGTGGTGTTTATTTCTCTATAAATCCATTACCCAGTTAGGCTAAGCTAACCGTTAAACAGGAACAACACACATCTCTGGCATATACATGTTGAAAACCCTAATCCCATCTGATTGATACTTAAAGACGCCAACACAGTGTGTGACCAAGTCATTCTACCATCTGCTGTCTGCTGTTACTACTCTGAGGCTAGGGGAACACAAATTATTTTATAATATATGAACGACAGCCCCACATTTCACAAAAAACATACTGGTAATGTCACTTATACCTATAGTACCTATAGGTTTTCTAGGGAAAATCAACCCTTTCAAATGGAATGTTGTACTACTAGCCTGTTTCAACACATGCAAGAAAACCGACCATGACAATCAACTGAAGAGAAAAACATTCTTGTGACTTATCCTCTGTGCATCATGCAAAATTAATGTCATGCACATCAATTATTCACAAGTACTCATCCTCAGAAAAGCATGGCTACATAAATAATAAACAACTTTGATAGGTACAAGACCTAAGTCTCCAGAGGGAAAGTCCTATACATACAATGCTTTGCCTGACTAACTGTTGGTCTATTGAAGATGGCATCACTCTGCAAGCTCCATTGCCCCGCACAGCTGTTTAACACAACATTGCATAGGAACAGCTTGTGGATGCCAATTACATTACATTACATTACATATGACTTGTTAGACGCTTTTATCCAAAGCAACTTACATACTCAATACTGTGGGCAATCCCCACAGGAGCAATTTGGGGTGAAGTGTCTCGCCCAGGGGCACAACCACATGCTGACTGCAGTGGGGTTTGAACCTGTGCTCCCCTGATCCGAACACCAACGCACTAGTCCTCTGCACCACAGCCTACCCGGAATACACAAGGATTACACTGGGGGAGGGTTAACAGGCAGAGGCTTTAGTAGAATAATACTGCATAAAAATGAAGCCTGCATGACGCTTCCTTTGAGCGGGCTTTGTCCTTCAGTCATCATGACTACACAAGGACAACCACAGTGAAGGGAGAACATTGCCATTTGTATGTGAATGGTATGTAGAACTAACGTTAACTGACAGATAACATCACAATATACATCTAACATTAAAAAAAAATATGAACCATATATGTCATGTAACATATATAAGGCTGGAATGTATTTTTATTGTTTTTTTTCCTTTCAGTTTTCCATGTTTTTTCAAAAGATATATATATATATATATATATATATATATTAAACAGTACTACAATAACACCAATTGCTATTTTCTAGGCTGATCTTAATTGTACCTGCTGATTTCGATGTTGGTTCTTTCTAAGTATTATAACAGCATATACACATTATTGACATTTTCTTTAACCAAATATTAAATATCTTGTCCATACATATTAGAGAAAAATTATAGAAAACTCCATACCATGTAGGTAGGCCTGAAATAGAGTCAATGATTTATAATTATCTAATACTATTATTATTTTTATATAACGCTATTCATGAATCAGTATCAATTTCCAAGAATGTGAAGGTGTTTGTTTTGGATAATACTAGCTCCCACACTGAGCAGCGTGCTGCTGGCTGCTCACTACTGACAGCGCACGGAGCGAGAGGACAGGGGGAGACGGCTACCATTACTCTGTTCAGCATGCATGGGAATGAATTACAATAGAATAAATAAAGTGTTTGTCTATGTAACTTGTTCCAAACGCACACAATACATTGTAATGAAAAGGCACTAGTGTTGTCACGATACCAATATTTTGGTTTCGATACCGATACCAAGTCAAGAATTGCGATTCCGATTCTTTTCTTTAAAAAAGGTAAACAGTCTTAAATGTAATTAATGTGCTTCATTTAACACCAGAAGCATAACCATAACACAAACTTTTAAACAATGAGAACAATACATTAAATAAATGACAATTAAGCATCATCTATAAACAACTTTTTTGTTTTTCGCTTCTGGCGTCTTTTTTGTCAACAAGCCGAGGCGCAGCGGCAGTTGCACTCCCACTTGCAGCCATGCTTCTCGTTTTCTCACATGCTCTGGCAGCTAGCGCGTGCACGAGAGAGGGGAGGACCTTAGAGCGTGCTTGAGAGGAGAGGGACTGCAGGCACGGCTGCAGTGCAGTGATTGGAAGCAGAGCGCTGAACACACACGGTTCTTATTAAAACAGCGCTTTCTCACCGGAGTACTTTCCCCCGTCATTCTTAAAGCACCGATACTAATGAGACGGAGGAACCGTAACGTTTTTAACGGCAGGGTATCGCGGTACCTTTCAAGTATCGGTACACCGTGCAACACTAAAAGGCACAAGAAATCAAAACGATCTACAGACTTAAAAAATGGCAATCAGATGTTTGTTAGTGAGGATATATCTTATATATGAGCCTGGTGCACTGACCTCTCATTCCCGGGCTGAAACTCCGAGAGTAAGGAGGGCCGGCGGCGATGGGGCTGGGACAAGTGGGAGCTGTAGTCCCTGGCATGATGAGAGTGGAAGTCAACTAGTCCCACTTCCTGCAAGACAAACAACAACACGTTTTCAGCATGGACCATCCTTCTGAATGATGCAAAGAGCAAAGTGAATAAAAACATTTTAATTTCATGTAATTTGACCCCACTTCCTGCCTTTTTTTTTCTGTAATATCCAACTATTTTCTCTCCAGCGCTCATTAATCGCTCTCCTTCCATTTGTTTCTCACACAAGTGGGGTAACCCATGCCGCTACTGTAAGCTTTCCCCTCTGCCAGTCAGGGATTGTGGGATACAGCCAGTCAACCCTCATCTCACCCTGAATGTGTTGACAAGAGGGAGTGCTAGGATTAACTACAGGTGCAGCTGTGGACATCCCGGGGGGTAGGCCTTGGCTTCTCCCGCCAAAGAAGAACAAAAAAGTTCTTGCAAACACTGGAGGTCACTGAGTGAACTTGTACATCAGACAGCCGCCTGTTCTTTGAAGCACAGACAGCTTTGCCCCCAATACATAGAAGAACATAATCTTGATAATTAGGACATTTCTATGGAAATAATGGGGAAAGCCTTAATGTGTCTCCATGCTGTCAACATGAACTGTCAACTTGTACATCTAATGAGGGAACAGCTCTGTGTGCATAACATTGCAACCTGGGAAAGTTTTTGTTGGAAAAACACCAGTGGGGGCCCCTGGGGTCAGGCCTCTTTCCAGTGGATTAGAGTAATGCCCTGTTTACTAAATATTCAAGCAGGCAGAACCAGAATGACAGATTCAGTCAAATCTCTCAAAAGGGTTTCGGGGAAAAGGGAAGTTGATGAGTTCATGTGGAGCCCTTAAACACATTGTGTACCGGACCGCTTACCGTGTGTGCCCGTTGCAGCTGTAGTGGTAGACTGGCGGGGTTTGGGAGGTGCCGTGTGTCCACAGTCCTCCGGCCTGGTGGCCCAGACTGGGGATGAGAGGACATGCTGGCACAGCCGCTTCCTCTACAGGCAGGAAGTCGGTATGTCTGCAGAGCGGATGCTGTGCATTATTAGCTGTTTCTCTTAGCCATCAACCTGCGGAGAAAGAGAAAAAATTGCCATGAGACTTTATTTGTACTTGAGCAACCCTGGTGGCATGATTTTGGCCACATTCCTAAATGAAAAGAACAATGCATAAAACATTGTGCAATATGTGTGACGGTTGCTCGGGAACAATTTGATGTTTTCTGGCTCGCACCTCTGAAGTAGCTAGAGATGAAAGTGTGTGTCTGTCTGCTCCGGATATCAGAATGTCATCACCTCCCTGACACAGATGCTCCCCCTTCCATTTCTCCTAGTAAAGTAGTGAGAGTCCCTGCACCTGCTAGACTGAACCCCCCCTTCAATGCTTACTGAATAGCTCACTGTCCTCACACACTGAGGACTCACAGACAGACACGTCAAGCAGCCAGCCCGTAAACCAAGAATACTGACTTTAATGGGGCTTCACATGAAACATAAATAACTCAATGGCAGAAAGATATGTAGTCCATGAATGTCAGGCACTAGATTTTAACTCCAGATGACATTATGCAAACTATATCGACCTCATTTACAAGGGTGCAACATATTGACCAAGAATGAAAACAAGTCAAAACTGGCACAAACCTGATGTAACACACTGAATGTTTACTTTCTCTGTAAAAGCTAAGGGAATATATGTTTATGGTTTACATAAATAGGGAAATAAGAAAGGAAGTAAAGTAAGTCGAGTGAAAATAATGAGGCAAAAAATGAATTGCCATAATTCTCTGACAGTGACCATGCAGTAGGGCTGTGCAATTAATAGTATTTTAATCTCGATTTTGGCTTGCAACGATTACGAAAACAACGTAATGGAAATAAAACGATTATTCTTTTTTTTTTTTTATGTATTATTTTTAATTAAAAAATAAAGGGTAATCATACTGTTCCAAACATTTTTTCAATAAATGTATGTTTTCAAAGTAAATGGATAATCGTTTTTAACTAATTAATAATCAATTATTGACCAAAATAATCGTGATTATAATGTTTGCCATAATCGCACAGCCCTACCATGCAGATAACATCACACACACGACAAAGGGAAATCTATGACAATAGCTTATGGCCTTATTGTATAATATTTAAGGTTTTTAAATTCAACAAAAATTAAATGTTGACACAATGATGAGCTCTGGTCAGCTTTTTATAGCACCATTCTCAGACACTTAAAAAGCATGTGCTAGTAGTAGTAGCAGTAGTAGTAGTAGTAGTAGTAGTAGTAGTAGTAGTAATCGTGACATATGTCCCTGTGACTCCTGCCATCAAAGAAATTAGGACTCCTGCCATTTGTAGGAGCCTCTGACTGATGACGCCTCTCTCATAGATCACATTTCAGCGCTGTACAAGCCACACAACAGGCACTTTGGCAGAAATATGGGCTCACAACATGGCAATGACTGAAATCTTTACAAGCAGTGCTTAAGGTGTACTGCTAAGCCACCACCACTGGGACCACATCCATAAAAAAAAAGTAGAACCATTTTGGTTTGTAGATATGAGTGAGATTTGAAACAAAATGTAATGTCCCACTTCTATCAGTTTGTTTTGTATAAAGAATAATAACAGTAACAAGGCCAATATTACTTAACCATCATTACAAGGAGTGTTTATAACATTTGAGATGTGATTATTTGATATTCAATCTGTAAATGTAAGATTGCTATAAAATAAATTGTTTACAAATTTATTTAAAAATCCAAATAAAAGACCAGTCATAGATGCGGTGTAGGACTGACACAACACTGCTGTTTGTCTGTTTGGAATCTGTGGTAGTGTTTATATAAATGTCAGTGCTGTCACAACCACATGAGCCTATTTGGAGGCACAGTGGGTTATTGTGGGAAATTACAATTTATGTAACAATTGGTTGAACTTAAATACATTGGTAACCGACAAACTGTAACACTAGCTCACTAGTGCTAACACCAGGTCAGCTAATACCAGGCCCCTGAAGGTCCCATCCTAGATGTAGAGTAATCACTTCTGCAACAAATAGTAAACAAGCATTACTGGATCAATGAACACCACAAGGTTCAGGCCTACATTGTTGGTATAATAGAACCTATGGTAGAGTGCCAGCGTGCCAGTCTCTGTTGTCTGACTCTTCATACTGTACAAAGAGAGGCCTTATCTATCCTTGCTTCCTGCCCCACTGTCACAAATACAAAGTGTTACTTGATTTCAGTTACGCAGAAGGCTCTTTTACAAGAGGCTGAACACGGCTCTGGCATTAAGGAACAGAGGCGCTCTGTAAAAATCCTCAGAGAGGACAGGAGATAGAAAACACTGCTAAAGTTTTCATATTGGCTAAATAATTTTCATCTGTGTAGGGTAGTTGAAAACTGTGGCTTGAAATATTTTCAAAGAACTGGTGTATACTTGTCTTTATGAGAGACAGACAAAGAGACTAGATAAACCGACCACACAAAGGGAGGTGCTAACGTGATTGAGTAGACTAGTGAAGTTCTAGATGAAAAAAACTAGGGATGCTCTGATCGCCAATTTTGGGGCCAATCACCGGAATCAGTATCGGCCGATACCGATTGCCGATCCGATCGAGTGGGTGGGGCCTATGGGGATCTTCCATTTAAAGTGATGTTTAAAATTCAGTTAATGGGGCTCATTCACTGGCGCTTCCACAAACAACAACCAACATAGTTATTACATTCAAATGAAGTACATTATTCAAGTTTACATTCACTTTGGACAATAACACAGGAGAAATGAGCGGAAGTGTTCTCTTTTCCTCTCTCCCTCTCCCGTCATAATTTTACGTCATGGGATCGGCTCTCGCGATCGGCATTTTTAGAGAGCACCGATCGATCGGCGGAGAGTTAGTATCGGCCGATATCGATATCGAAGCATCCCGGAACAAAACTCATGATATTGACCAGCGTTTCCGCCAGGGGGGCGTCTTGCCGTCATTTGACGCCGAGGGCGTCCAAAAATATCAATAATTCGAGAGAAGATCGAGAGTTTTTATCGCTTGAAATAACGAAAAGGAAAAAGGACAAGGACATCCCGCTGTTGGAGGGGCAACGGAGTCTGGTGGGATTCTTTCCGGAGTATTGAAGATCGTTTCCCCGACATCGGCGGTGCCCTGGCCTACGAGGACAACACGGGACTAGACGACTTGACCCTAAAGGTCCACAACGAAGGG